TTGTCTTGTTGGAAGACAAATCTCCGTCCCAGTCTCAGGTCTTTTGCAGACTCCATCAGGTTTCCTTCCAGAATGGTCCTGTATTTGGCTCCATCCATCTTCCCATCAATTTTAACCATCTTCCCTGTCCCTGCTGAAGAAAAGCAGGCCCAAAACATGATGCTGCCACCACCATGTTTGACAATGGGGATGGTGTGTTCAGGGTGATGAGCTGTGCTGCTTTTACGCCAAACATAACGTTTTGCATTGTTGCCAAAAAGTTCGATTTTGGTTTCATCTGACCAGAGCACCTTCTTCCACATGTTTGGTGTGTCTCCCAGGTGGCTTGTGGCAAACTTTAAACGACACTTTTTATGGATATCTTTAAGAAATGGCTTTCTTCTTGCCACTCTTCCATAAAGGCCAGATTTGTGCAGTATACGACTGATTGTTGTCCTATGGACAGAGTCTCCCACCTCAGCTGTAGATCTCTGCAGTTCATCCAGAGTGATCATGGGCCTCTTGGCTGCATCTCTGATCAGTCTTCTCCTTGTATGAGCTGAAAGTTTAGAGGGACGGCCAGGTCTTGGTAGATTTGCAGTGGTCTGATACTCCTTCCATTTCAATATTATCGCTTGCACAGTGCTCCTTGGGATGTTTAAAGCTTGGGAAATCTTTTTGTATCCAAATCCGGCTTTAAACTTCTCCACAACAGTATCTCGGACCTGCCTGGTGTGTTCCTTGTTCTTCATGATGCTCTCTGCGCTTTAAACAGACCTCTGAGACTATCACAGTGCAGGTGCATTTATACGGAGACTTGATTACACACAGGTGGATTCTATTTATCATCATTAGTCATTTAGGTCAACATTGGATCATTCAGAGATCCTCACTGAACTTCTGGAGAGAGTTTGCTGCACTGAAAGTAAAGGGGCTGAATAATTTTGCACGCCCAATTATTCAGTTTTTTATTTGTTAAAAAAGTTTGAAATATCCAATAAATTTCATTCCACTTCATGATTGTGTCCCACTTGTTGTTGATTCTTCACAAAAAATTACAGTTTTATATCTTTATGTTTGAAGCCTGAAATGTGGCAAAAGGTCGCAAAGTTCAAGGGGGCCGAATACTTTCGCAAGGCACTGTAGATGGCATCATGAGGAAGGAAGATTATGTGGGTATACTGAAGCAACATCTCAAGACATCAGCCAGGGAGTTAAAGCTTGGTCAAAAACGAGTCGTCCAAATGGACAATGACCCCAAGCAGACTTCCAAAGCTGTGGCAAAATGTCATAAGGACAACAAAGTCAAGGTATTGGAGCGGCCAGCAGAAAACCCTGACCTCAGTCCAATAGAAACAATATAGGTAGAACTGAGCAAGGAGGCCTCCAAACCTGACTCAGTTCTATCAGTTCTGTCCAGAGGAATGGGCTAAAACTCCAGCAACGTATTGTAAGAAGCTCGTGGAAGGTGTTCTAAAATGTTTGACCCAAGTTAAACAATTTAATGGCAATGCTGCCAAATACTGAGTATATATAAACATCTGACCCACTGGGAATGTGATGAAAGAAATAAAAGCTGAAATAAATCTTAAACTCTACTGCTATTCTGACATTTCACATCCTTAAACTAAAGTAGTGATCCTCACTGACCTATGACAGGGAATGTTTATAGGATTAAATGTCTGGAGATGTGAAAAACTGAGTTGAAATGTATTTGGCTAAGGTGTGTGTGTGTAAACTTCAGACTTCAACTGTATATTTTGACTGTTCACCATGAGAAAAACTTTTTTCACTTTTAGTTTGTTTTTATTTCGGGAACTGCCTTTCTAAAAGAAGAGAAAAGGAAAAAGCTTTTACATTCCCAAGGACGAAGGAGGAGTTTGTGTTGTGGGGAGGCAACATGACTTAGTTTCTCACACTTTAATTGCGAAGGATCTCATTGTAACTGGTTTTTTATACTGCCCAATAAGGTTACCGTAGCAAAGGCTCTGTTGTATTAAATATTAAATAATTAACTAAATATAATTTCAATCATCCTGTGTATGGATATTTTTGTAATGATTAATTGTACATCTAAGGGAGAAGCATGAATTTCCATGCAAGAAGAGTCACCTTGCCTGCCATCACACCACTTCGTCTGCAGAACCGGGTAGGAAGAGTAGATTTCGGAATAGTAGATTTTTCTCTGTACCATCTCTTAAACATTAATGCTTTTTTTCTCTTTATTAGTGAAGTGAAGTTGTTGTCACGATCGCAGATTGTTCTGTTTTTAAACAGTTTTGTAGATGTCGCTGGATGAGATCCAACCTCATGTGAGCGCTATGTAAAGGCTCGCTCTGTGTAAATCTGGCTAAAAGCTTTGTCTTCATAACTATGTTCATATTTGATTTACTAAATTAGCCTGAAATATTATTTGTTGAAACTGACTTTCCTGAATTACACTGGTTTTACAGATTCAAGTTGTCGTTTCAAAATGTATGTATTGCCTGTGGTGAAGCACTTTACGTTGGTTCCTGATTTTGGTGTTGGTTGTGTTGTTTCTTAGAGTTTTTCATGTATAAAAACATTGTGGTCTGTTCAGGAACCGCATAATGTAAACTGCTGGCTGTTCCTCTTTATCATTGCTCCATGATTTTGCAGGGATTTACAGATTCTTATGAGGGCTTGCTCTTACTTTACTGCTATGATACATTATACATTCATGTTTATCAAGCAACCTCAAGTATGTTTTTATCCACTCTGAGTAAAACATGCAATCCCTGTATCATTTACAGTATGTTTGCAGTATTAACCAGCAGCTGAACTATCATTTTTATTGTGTAAAGTAGCAGCTAGCTTTCTAGAGTGCAGTGTTGCTTGCTGTTGTAATTCATTTCCTCTTTGGTGAATGCTATGTATGCTATGGTGAATGCAAATGGTATTCTGGCTATGACTTACTTCTAGGTAGTCCAATTCTGTCAGCACTGGTAACATGGTTAAAAATTAGAAGCCAACAAGTGTAACCCACTAATGCAGCTGACAGTGCATCTGTTAAAATGTAGGCAGCACTTGGAGAGAAAGTCGTAAATGAAGTTGAGGCCATTTTTTTTCGTTGTTATTATTATAGTACAAAACTGGGAGGATATTTCTCTGTGGTTTTCTTAAATAGACAAGGCTGGAGGACACCTCCTTACCACCATTTGGTGATAGAGCTACAGCTGTGAGACTGCATTTCAAGGTTAAAATATAGTAGTGTAGTTGGCAAAATGGCTCACTGTGTCCTGTCCTTGAGATAAGAAGGTCTAATGGAGGAGTTTCTTTTCAACAAGACTATATATAGACTTGTATATTCCATATCTGGATTTTCTCTGCCATGTGTAGACTTTTTTACCCCCCACGTCTGTGATACAGTGCTCCAAATCAAAAGTATAGCTAGTATCAAAGTGTTGAATGCAGTTTCATACTGTAGCAAAGGAGCCAACTGTAAAATCTTTGGGCCAGTATTATGGCCAAATATCAGTATACACCTCTGAGCAAAAGTGACCACCCACAGATGAAAGTGAATCATGAAAATGATACATATCAAGGTCTAGCATAAACCAAAAACAAACTATAAATGGGGCGCAAGTGCAGTAGAAGGAATCTCATCTGGTTCAAGCTGACAGAAGGCTAGTGGCACATGTATCAATCCAGCACTGGAATAATCTGGTTCATCTCATAGAAGTTAAATTAAAATGTCCACATGTCCTAGATGCATTTTTGAAAAAAATTGCTATACGATGTTTCCAGTGAGGATGGATTTTGTACCACGGCTTTGTTAATGTAGCAGTCACATGTTTTAGCAGTAGTTTCCCATTTGGCATGACAGCACCAAAAGAAACTTGTTTTTTTTAGTTGAACAGCTGAAGCCACTTTGCTTTTGTATGTGTTTAATTACCTGGTGTAAAACAATAATGCTGTAATGTTTTGTCT